GGAGCAGAACATTCGATGGATCAGATTATGCCATTTGCATACTAGCGAGGGTAGTACTGTATTAATAAAGTTATTTTATCAGTGGCTCTTCTGGAACCTCCATGGGGGGTAAAGGGTTAAAGGAAAACCATCGGTCGCATTCGGTAGCATATTCATAGCACATGAGAGAAATGTCACGTCATCCTCTCTAGCGATGAAAAGAAAACAGCTTATTGGTGAGTGTGGGTGTGGAGTGTGCGTGTACCTGAAGATGTCAGTGTTGTTTCTTACTTCATGATCAGTCACACCGGCAAACACCAGCTGACATCCACATGCACACCCCATACCCACAGCCACACCCACACCCTCACACCCACACCCACACCCACACCCGAGTGCTTCGATTGCTCGATGGCCTCATGGGTGCGCTCTTGAGAAGGTATGAGTTATTCAAAAATCGAGTAACATTTTTTCTTTGACATTCTTATATGTCTTGATAGAGCTTGTCGAACTCTACAAAATTGTCTATATTGAAAAATTTTCCAACCTTTTCTCTGGCATAAATTTGAAACGAAAAATCTAATATTTATGTTTTTTATATGAAAAACCGACAATTATTTTTGCAAATAAAAAAAAAACAGTTTTTTGTAAATTTATTCCGCAAAAAAGGTTTGAAAGTTTTTCAATATAGACCATTTTGTAGAGCTCGACAAACTCTATGGAACCTTGTAAGAATGTTATTCGATTTTTGTATTACTTATACCTTTCTCAAACTACAGATATTTATAACAATAATATCATTTTGTAGTTTTTTATGTTATTTTTTTCTGAGCATTGGACTTCATTTGTTGTTACTGTATTTTATATTCAACAGGTTCCCGTATTAAAGATATATATAGATAATACTCAATGTTTACTATTCAAGAATAAGAAAAAGTCTAATAATATTGAGTAGTTTTAATGTATGACTCAAAAACAAAAAAAAGTGGTACCGAACTTTTGACCAGTACTGCAATTCATATACAAATGATGTTCAACAAGATTTTATTTTAAAGAATCATTGTATAAATCAAATCTGAGTTTTCATTATTTATATTCACTCTTGCTGTCTATTCGAATTAAACTATACCCGAACTTCTGCTTCTAGTGATGCATCAACAATTGGCATTCTCCACCGATTATATCGTCGTAAACCTTGTGTTAATGAAACATGAAATTCCCTAAAACCATCAACAATTACTTTTGAAAATAAATGATAATGGTCAACTACAAAAATATATATTAATTTAAATAAGTCTGTTCGTAATAAAACTTCCTGATACTTAGTTGAAGAATAATGAATGAACAGCAGTTCTAAATAATGAATTAAAATAGGTATGACCAATACGAAAAGGACAAGTATACAATATGTGACAAAGTAATGGAAAGAAAAACAAACAAATACAAATACAAGTCTGTATGCAAATACAAATGCATGTTTCATTTAGAATCAAGTAGCCATTTTTTTACTAATTCATCATGTTTGATATTTGGTAAAACTGTTTCACGAATAAATGTTCGAAATTGATTTGATTTAATTGAAACATATTTATTATATGTTTCTGTATTAAAAAAGATATCATTTTCTCTTCCTTTTCGAAAGTTATTTATACCAATATGAATACCGGCCAAACTTCCGTAGCAGTTCAGTATAATTGAACCACTAGAACCAGATAAGGTACTGCAGTTATGTAAAGAGTATTGATCACTTTCAGATGCTTCTTTTATAAGATTTCCTATGGAAATAGATTTGTAATTAACGTTATGATAAATATTCAGCTTGTCGATTGTTAAATCGTTGAAATCTTTCAAATATTGATAAGGTTTTAATTCATCTTGATCAATTAATTCCCCGTTGTACCCAATGAGATACAGTTTTGAATTTAGTAGAACATCAACGAGTTTTGATGATTTTAAATCGAATTTGGGATCAAAATATTGATCCATTGTTACATTTTCTACTTCATTATCTAATTCAAGTAAAGCAAGATCTGTATAATTATCTTTGATTTCAGTATAATCAGTAATGTGGTCCTCTACTATACCACGTTGAATTATTTTAGCTTGATATACAGTTTGATGAGGATTTAGAAACGAAAAAACTGTATCAGGAACAGGATCACAAAAAGCTACTAATATTTTAGAATAAGATACTTTATCAGTACCCCATTGTATTGGATCAAATGTATGACCAGATGTTAACAAAAGTTTATTAGTTATCAAACAACCACTGCCAAAGACCATTTCTGTTGTTGTTTTACGTTCGTAAAACACTGCAATTCGAAGAACTAAATGTCTGATTGATAATAATGTTGATGTTATTTGATTTTCATTTGGAATTTTAGGTAAAGATGTTTTACAATTAAATCCGTCGTAACTATACGTATATGTTTTATCAAATGAGTTGGTTTGATTATTGAAAAATGCTCTTTCATTACATATAAATTTGGGCACTTTGTCTATTCTATTTGAAATAATATGTTGCTCTTCTGAACTAGACTAAAATAAAGCAAACAACTAGAGCACATGTTCCTGATTATAACGAACTTTTTACAAATTTCTCTTTTTACTCTTTAACTTACTGATTAATTAAAGTTGCTTAGAAAAATCATAGAAACTTCTCACTTACCGATGAATTTAAATCAGTCATCTCAATAAAAATAAATACCAAATTTTTTTAAATTTAATAGAATAATATTTTTAATATGAAATGAAAAGTAATTCTTCGTGAAATAAAAATGAATATCAAAGAATAAATAATTCTTGATGAAATAAAGACGAATCTATAAATACCAGAGAAAAAAAAGATGACTAGGCGAAAAAAATAGTATGAGTATTTAACTCTAAAATGAAAAAAAGAATATGATGCACTTCCTGTTCATTCATTAATTAGTCGAAACTTGTTGTTGGAATATGCAGAACAAAAGAAACGTGGAGAAACAAAGTCAGAATATCACTGGTTATTTGATTATCTAAGATGTCGTCCTTCTACGAACAATCTGTTCATATTGATGAGATAAATATGAGGTACAAATTAATCCTCATTTCATTCTCTTTTTCCTGTTCTGTACTGGTCTTTTTATTAAAAAATAATTTATTTTTTCAAAATTATGACAAATATTGTGAAATAAATATTAAGACAAATAATTATTTTATGGTTGCATATTCATTTAAACCTGTCGAATCAAATATACCTTTTCTCCTATTTAAAGAAACAGATTTACGTGTATACTTCAATAAAATAACAACTTCTCAAATAACAAAATACCTACATTAATTCAGTAATGATGATACATACTAAAATGTTAGCAGTTTTTTTTTATTTTGAACTTAGATTTTATTTATCATACACTTCCTACTGTCATAAAACTTTATTAAAAACAGAAATATGTTTCTCCGTCATTTACTATTCTTCTATAATAAACAATTGTTTTTTCTAGATTATAGATAAATAACTATGTTGTAAAATCAATGCACTTCCAAATCAATAGATAATTCACACGAATCACAAGATGGCTATAGATTGACGATACATCATCTTATGCTTTCTTCAATTCGTTTATGTACTGATAAATATGTAAGATTTATTATCAAGACAAACTAAATAACAGGCGAGAAAAAACTTAACTAAGAAACATATAGATACTAGCTGAGAATATTGATTGAAATTTTTAGAAATTTCTGTTCATATGTTTTTAATTTCTTATCAGATAACATC